AACATATATGTATATATATGTATGTCTGTATGTATAAATATATGCATAGTCGGCTTCCTACTTATTTATGTACAGACGTATTCTACCCTCAGTAAAGGATATCAGAATATCAAAGCGGAGAAACCGGTGTCAAGTTCTATATATATATACCCAATATTTTATCTTATTCAGTTCAGAGGTGAGACGTACAGACAGCATATATCTGTATATGCAACATCCACATCGAGGCTTATCAGCCATACGTTAAGCCAGGAGCTGCATCTGAGCAACATCAATCAATACCAACCGGTAATACATCTTTCATACCAGTCTTTGCCAGGTGGATGAATGGCACATGCTTGCGATTCACACTCAAATACAAGTAGATTGCGTGTGACATCCCGAATATATACACACGCACGCACACGCACACGCACACGCACACATATGTTACGCTCTACACACAAACAAAGCACATCACATCTAAGCTCTCGGGTGTGTGAATTCCTATAACACAAACCGGAGAAGGCTCCCGCCGGCTTTGCCAATGGCAGACGTAACAACTTACAATAGGGTGTGCACACGGTGTTGTGCTTGATGTAGAGAATCACCATGGTGATGGCTCCCAGGTCAAATGCAGCGCACGCCTTGATTTTCCAGGCGTAGGAACGGGCTTGAAGCTGGCGATTAAGCCAAAAGGCAAGTGTTGGGCAAGGTATAGAGGGGAGAAAGGATACACGTGAACATACTTGATAGTGTAAATCGGGTAGTGGTATAGTCACAAGTGAGGTGCATATGTGGCTGGTGTATGTCTCATGGGCATTCTCTACAACGTACCCAGGATAGAACCATTTGCTGCACCTTTTACAGTGACAGAAGTATTCCGCTCTTTAAATATGCTACATAGACTATATATCCAATACCCACACCGCTATATAATCAAACTTTCCAAATTGAAGGAACTAGGCGGTATGCCAACTCCCGGTGCCCTATACCTGGACCATTGCACCCGGAATCGACAGACGATACAGCCGAATGTGTAGCCACTGATGCACCGCCGAGGTCACCATAAACAGGATGGTCGACGCCTCATGTATGTCGTGGTTCTCATTGGATCCTGCAACATATAGTCATCGTGATTGAGTATGCGTGGCGTGTGTATGTGTGGGTGTGTGTGTGTGGGTGTATGCATGCACGCGTGTTCTCGTATGAATAGTAACAAATGGCACGCCCGTGCCCCGTGTGAGGTCCAGGTATCGCTAGTGATGTAAGTCTTTCGCTTGGCCGTGTATGTATTGTGTATCGTCTGTCCACGGTGAGGTTTACTGCCGTGGTAGTATGTCTGCATCAGATGAAGCCAAGAGCGCTATATAGTGGCAACCGTCTGTGTTACCATAGCAATGTCCTGAACTATCTACTGGGTGTACAGGTCTGTGTTATCATAGCAATGTCCTGAACTATCATCTGGGTGTACAGGTGGTAGGCTGCCCCGGTACTCTCTCTGGTGTCTCGTAAACTTATTAAGTTTAGACTTTTTATAGTATGAGTGGTTCATAGGTAACACGCACGATACATCTAAACGCTTTAATTGCGACGGAAGCGAAACGTGACATGCAATCGTTGATTGAGTATATTGCATCGGATTTTATATAACTGACTTCCTGCACTTGTACAGAGATCGCATACATCTCAACAAAGTTATTCCCCCCATTTTAGTTAGAAGCAACTGTCATCTTGCGCAAAAGTAAAGCCTGATACGCGTATATATATACAACCCAAGCCAATATGTAGATGACCTCCATATCAGTACGACCCGATAATGTCCGGTAAGAACAGCGTATGCCAAACACAAGCACAGATTCGTGCGCTCACTCCCCTTTGTATCAGCACTGACATTTGTCTTGCTATTCACTAGGCAACCCAATTATATAACTACATGGTGGTAACTCATGCATTTGGCAACACCGTACGCGTGTGACTATCCAGCATAGAGGTTCATAAGAAGCAGAATACCATGTTGTCGGTCACAGTACGCCTTACTGATATAGTACGTGTTGAATGAACTTCTGATGGATAAGAGAGCTGGCTTGACTGGACAGAGCAACACAACGCAAATACAAGGGAGTACGTGTAAAACATCAATCTGATCATCAAAGTATGTAGACGAGCACTCCTTCAGAGCGGGAAAAGGAAATATTCTGGAATTCTCATTCGGACAGGTATACGGTACGACTGAATTGAGGTGCATCCTGGCCAGGCCCATATGATTTTAAACTGACAGGGTGGATGAACCGTTCCGTGATCAATTACATCATAGACTGTTGAAGCAAGTAGTACACATTGGCAACCTACGAAACTTAAGCACTTAAACTTGTACATACGAAGATCTTACTATGACTATGCAAACACGCATTGGTACCTACACATCGCGATGAACGACGTACATATTGAGGACCAACATTACAGCTACACATGAAGTTGCGCCTTCCAGTATACTTTATGCCACAAAAATAGGTATATTTTCACATAACATCAAAATCTATATGTGTATATG